ATGGAGAGGACCATGTTCGGGGTGAACTCCTTGGAGCCTAGGCCGTAACGCCCTCCAATGCACACGATATCGGACCGCGCTGTGAGCTGCAGTGTGGCAGAGACTTCCAAGAAAAGGGGCTCTCCCTGTGAACCCTGCTCCTTGGTACGGTCCAACACACAGATTCGCTCCGTGGTCTTCGGCAAGGCCGCCATGAAGCGTGCGGTATCCCAAGGCCGGAAGAGACGGACCTTCAGCACGCCAACCTTCTGCCCCTTTTCCTGCAGGTACTTCGCCGTCTCGCTGCAGGTCACCGCGCCGCTGCCCATCACCACGATCACATGTGTGGCCTCGGGGTGCCCTTCGTAGCCGTACAGCGCATAGTGCACACCTGCAAGGCGCAGACACACTTGCCTATGGATGCTGCTGCAGAACGTCCCATCACCCCCCTCCCCCTGCACGGCATGAACAGCATGCAAAGCAGGTGCACGTTCCGTTACCTCCGGCCTGTCTTCTGCTCAACCAAGCGGGACTTGGCCTCAAAGAGGTCCGCGAGGCCATCGTAGAAGGTGTTCCCCGCCTCCACGCACTGGAAGAAGATGTCTGGACCCTGAGAGGTGCCTTGCACGTGAGGGTGCCGAGGGTTCATGGCCAGATCATGGTGCTCCTTGATGGCGTCCCAATTGATAAAGTCCTGGGCGAGTATCCGCATGAATGATTAGCAGCTGCAAGCATCGCAAACCTCTTATCGCGGTGCCTTCATGGTGTTGTAGTCCACCAGCTTCACCTTGTTCACCTCATGGCTTGTGCGGAAGCCATCGAAGAAGTGCTGCACTGGGACGCGGCGCTCCATGGAGACCAAGTGAGAAACCAAGGCGTTGTACTGTACCATCTCCACAGATTCAGAGGCCAACATGGCCCAGCCCGTCGAGCGGCATGCCATCACATCGCTGTGGTCTCCGAAGATGGACAGGGCCTGTCCTGCAAGAGCACGCGCGGCAACGTGCATCACGCAGGGGAGCAGTTCCCCTGCAATCTTAAACCTGGGTTGTCCTTTAAGCCCTTCGAAGAATATTTGCGATTATGGTTCTCTACAAAAACATAGGGGAAATGAAAGAAGATCCCAAAGGACAAGCCAGTAACATGTTGGGGATCATCAAGAGAAGCCCCTGGCTTGCGGTGAAAGTGGTGCCCAGTGCACCTGCCTTCAACGCACCATGCAGTGCACCGGCTGCACCCGCTTCGCTCTGCATCTCTGTGACGCTGAGCTTTTGGCCGTAGCAGTTAATCAACCCCTGCGCAGCCCATTCGTCCACCATTTCTCCCATGGGAGAGCTCGGCGTGATTGGATAAATGAAGGCGCAGTCGCTGAGGGCATAGGCCACATGCGCTGCTGCCTGGTTGCCGTCGATGCAGGCAATTGAGCCCTCAGTGGCGTGGATCACGTCCGTGTCAGCACACTGATGGACAATCGTCTTGTTCTCTGCTTTGAACATCGCCCTCTGGACTTCCTTCGTTTTGAGAAATTGCTCATACTCGACGTCTGCCACGCCGGCGTTCAGGGAAGCCAGACGCTCGGGATGTTCGGAGGGCCTCTCCTCTGCCGGCGCAAGACCACCATAAGGTCCGAACGGAGACACTTGCCCGCGGACGGCCATGGAGGACACGCCAAGAGTGAAGGCTACTCACAAACTTTGGCCTGATCGCGAATCCAATGCTTCAGCCACCATGAGCCGAGAACATCCCAAGCAGGCGTAACTGTGCTGAGCCAACAAGCATGCTTAGCTGACTGCACAAGTACTTTAGCAGGTTCCCCTTACTCGTCCATATTTCTGTTCTATCCAAGTAACACACCCTTCTGCGCTCAGCTCGCATGTTCAGCCCATGTTTTCCGGCAGCTCCAAATCCCAAAAGCCGTTCGCGTCACCCAGCCTAGAGCAGGCTT